CCCTCGCAGCCCCCGGTTACAGGCCCACCTGTTCGTCTTTCTTCTGTTTCCGGAGCTGCAGGCCTTCCTCCTCCCTCCTCCTCCTCATCTCCTCGGGGTTCAGGGACTTGTTCTTGTAGCTCTTCAGCCGCACGTTGTCCCTTCCCGAGCTCATCCTGGCGTCTGCACACAGACAGGGGCCCAGAGGTTAGTCCCTGCTTCTCTGGCGGGGCAGCCCAGAGGGAAAGAGAGAGACGCGCAGGGATATCCCATCATCCCAGCTCCTGCAAGCCCCCGCAGAGTGGCCTCTTGTCCTGGCTGGAGCTAACGACTGCAGAGAGGGCAAGGGTCACAGCCGGGGTTCGGGCTGGGATCGTTAGTGCCTTGGACCCATCTAGCCCCTCTGGCGGTAGCTGAAGGACCCGAGGACCTCGTGCAGCTGTTTCTAGGAAGAAACCAGGGTACTGTCTTCAACAGCATGGTCAACAGCTGCTTGTTCCCCACTCCCACCACCCTGCGGTGTAAAGAAGCCCCTCCTGTTCTCGGTGTTAAATGCTCAGAAGGGGAAACGCTGCTGGTCCTGCACTCCTGGAGCGCCAGGTTTCAGAAAACAAATGTAAAAAGCCACGTGCTTCTAGTCACAGTGGAAGGCCTCCCCTTCACCGCTGAGCACCAGCAGGCTCACCAGCAAATCGAACCCCCTGGTCTCAGACCTGCCTGGGAGCTGTCTGAGACTCCTCCCGATGTGCCCGAAAAACACAAGTGGACTCTTTGCCAGCAGTCTACCAGCGGGTAGAGTAAACAGCCTTACCCAGTGACCCGCCCTGACAGTGTTTACAGTGGATCTGTTAACGCTTCTGCTTATAACATACGCCAGCACTGATTAGTATTACCGGAGCTAACTGGGAGTTTTAATTTTAAGGGGACTTTTAGTGAGCATTTATGAGCGTGCAGGTGGACGGCGGCCTTCAACGCCAAGGGCTCATCTGATTATCACGACGTGTGACGACGGATCTCTGACGTCACGGGGTTCTACCCTGGGTGCGAACGCGCTCGCGAGACCCCCCCCCCCGGGGTCTCCCCGCGCTGACGACCTTCTCCTGCCGCTCGCTGTCAGCCGATATCACAGGAGCTCGTATCAGCTGAGAGGTTCGTGTCACCTCCAGTGTTTTGCCACACCTCTGCCACCGGAACACGGCGTCTTCGGCCTGCGCGCTGGGGAGAACGAGCTGCATCACGACACACTGGGAAACCTACACGCACTGGGACGCACAGCCCAGCCCAGCAACTGAAAGATACTGAAGGCTTTGCAACAGATTGGTGGCTTGAGATGAGTTGTTGTTGTTGTTGTTGTTGTTGTTGTTTTCCATGACTGGAACAGAAAGGGACACCCCATATAATGACAGCATGTGTCAGGAGGTTGTTTCTCGGAGAGAGAGAGAAAAACAACCCGGCCAGTTTTGTAGGTCATTTCCTTAAACCCCCCCCAATTGCTACACACTGGGGGACTGCTGCTCTCCGGCCGCCGGAGCAGGCGGTGAGTTCAGAGACCGGCTGAAATGTCACCCCCAACACCTGGTAGCGCTCCAGGGGTACAGCCAGCCACCCCCCGGTACATGACATGCGAGAACAGAAATCCGGCTGGAGCAACAAGCACCGGACTTTCTCCGCTAAATGCGATACGGCCGATTCCGTCGGTGCAGATGTAACACCGGCGAACGAAGTGCCAGTGCCGCCGAGCCCGGCCAGCGTTGGTCCGGATAAAACGTGCCAGCGGCGTGTCTGAGGTCTTTACTATGACCGGCAAAACGGCGGATGACGGCAGTGCACCGAGGTTTTGTAACTGTACCTGTAACTGTGCAGATCTGATATATTATACAGTCGTGCACTGCGAATGGCCCACTTTCAGAAAACACGGGGCGAGTGTGTCTCGGAGAAACCAAAAGCAAACGCTGACCTTATCCTAACGTGGACTCCACCGTGTCATAACACAATAGTCATACTTACATGGATGTCTCGACGTGTTTTTCGTTTCAAATACTGTGTGATCCGGCTACGGTTCGGAAAGTCCGCACTCCAAATCTACCTTCTCTCCTCTTTACCCCCCCCGTCGATGACCTGACTCAGGCGCTTCGGCTTTTTGTGTAAAAAAAAAAAATTTCCTCCCTAAAATTCAACGTCCTGCCAGGCCGCTTCCAGCTACCGGTTTGCCAGTGCGCATGCTCGCCCAGCCTACTTCCTCCTTCTCCCCCCCCCTCCCCCTCCACCGTGTCTGCTGGCGCGCATGCGTACGACACACAGCCCCCCACCCCAGTGAGGTTTCCACGCCTGCGGAGTGCGACCCAGACTAAGCTCTTCATTGAGTGTGGCTGCCCGGTGTACCTCCTCCAAAGCCGGACGTTTTACAATGCGTAGGCGCCATCGCAGCATGATAGCTACAGAGTATTACAGAACGCAAGATTATTTCACGGCATCTCTGCATTTCTCATTTACCTGAATTCCTGCTGGAGGTCAGTGAATGAGGCATGTATTTGGTCATCTTCCTGTTTCTCTGACCTACTCTGGTTTTGACACCCAGGAGAATTTAGCCCTCTGCCTCCTGCATCAACTTCAGCAAAATAGCAAAAATAGTTAATAAGAACCTATTTTGCTCTTATTTATTCTACCTGACGTAGGTTCAGTGGAGGCGACCCAGAAATGATCTAATAAAGAGGCACGCACACACACCGCTACATCTCGACTGCAAATAAACACCTGGAAAATTCTCTCCACTCCGACGCCTGGATCGCCACGTTCTGTCCCAGGATGAGCTCTATCACCAGGCGGCCTGGGCAGACCCTGTCCGAGGAGGGAAGCAGGATTGTGGATCGTCGCTGTTTCTGTCATAAACACGCCGAGGAAGTAACACTACAGATTGTTTTAATAACACGGTTTCAGTTTTAATGTGTATTTTCCATAGACACATCTTTAACAGCTGTAATTTCCTACCCTGGTAACCTCAAATTAACCACTATTGGTGGTGAAGGCACCGAAGAGTAGGCACCATACCTTCAGCAAGGGGGAGCAGGAAGGAAACTTACAGGGGCGGAGCAGTGGCTCTGTGTCTCTGGATCTGTGTCTGTGGCTGGAGGGTTGCTGGTTCATATCCCACGACTGGCAGAGGAATCCTACTCTGTTGGGCCCCTGAGCAAGGCCCTTAACCCCAACTGCTCCAGGGGCGCCGTATAAATGGCTGACCCTGCGCTCTGACCCCCAGCTTCTCTCCCTGTCTGTGTGTCTCATGGAGAGCAAGCTGGGGTCTGCGAAAAGACACATTCCTAATGCAAGAAATTGTATATGGCCAATAAAGTGATCTTATCTGATCTCACAGGCAGGGCTCATTGATGTCCTTGATTTGTTTTTAAAAACATCCAAACAAATACAGCGCTTAAAAAAGATCCTTGTGAGTTAGGTTGTGAGAATGCAGTCCTCATCAGCTGCATTCTCAAAAGCATTGAACTCTGTATCTGGCTTGAAGATTGACTTTTTGCCTGGCATGCAAAGTTAAGAGTACTGATGTCCTTTAAGCAGGTAGAGGATGCACTTGTGTGAACTGAGCACAGAAACCGCTGGGATGCTTGGCTTGTTAAAAGGTTCACTGCTGTCCCCACCTCTGCTTTGTAGAAAACTGCTGCAGGTGCAAAGGCAGAATGATAGTGATGAGGATTTTGCACAGTGATCATGATAAGTGAATGACAGTGAGAAAGGGTTTGCGCAGTGATTGTGATAAGTGAGTGATAGTAATGAGGGATTTGCACAGTGATAGTGTTAGAGGCTGGTTGTGCAGAAATACAACCCATACACACAATTTTCTGTTTTGTGCTGGTAGAACTCTGACTTAACCAGGTTAGTGAGTTCAGAAAGCGCTAATGAATTATGCAGAATGTTGCCTTTTCTGGAATCCTGGGGAAATTGTAGGGTGCTTAGACCTAATCTGATGCTGTAGATGGAAGCAAGCCTTCATTTCTCTGTGCCTTCAAACCCGGGGTCTGTAATTTTAGTCTTTGCTGCTGGGAAGCCTGGGAGGGACACAGGAGAGGTGAGAATGTATAAATACGCAGACAGAAGGGGGAAAGGGAGAGAGGAGAGAGAGCAAGAGACTGACAACCATACAGAGAGCTCGGTCTGTCACCTGGGCACAATGAGAAGACTGGTTCTGTTGCTCCTGGTGATTGCTCTGCTGCTCTGGGATGCAGGTAGGACACTGCAGTTGACAGACCAGGCTGAGGTCGCCTGAGCTGAGTGATTCGTCTGTTTATAGTTAGTGGGCAGATTAGACGCATTTTAAAAGCCCAGTCCCTTCTTTCAAATAATTAAACTGAATAAGCACAGTCATAGCAGAATCCTTCATTAGAACATTAGCAAAAAATAAAGCTAATTTTTTTTGTTTGCTTGGGTGTTTCTCAACATTTGCATTTTTATACAAAAAGTTGTATTCTATATTCTGGTCGCTTGCAGATTAGAATGGTGTATGTTTTGCAATAATATTATTTATGGTACCTGAAAGTTTCAGGTTGTTGCACAACGCTAAGGTATGCGTATACGTAATCTGACAACTGGAATCAATTTCCTGTCGTAAAACTCTGTTTTTTTTTATTTTTTATTAACCATTGAGTGTGTGTGTACTGCAGTTAGCATGTAGTGCATTTTTCCTCATGAGAGTGCATTTAGTTAGTGCACGCACTGAGGCACTGATAAAGGACTCCCCTCTCCCACCTGCATCACCCTCTCTCTCCAGAGGCAAAGCGCAAAGGAAGCAGCCGACACAAGTCAAAGAGCAAGACAAAGGTATCAAAGGCCGTCAAGGAAATTGCAAGAGCACTAGGTGAGCTCTAAGCATTTTGTTTCACAGGTTTCCCATATTCTGTAGGTCTCCTTCAATTATCCATAGCACAAGACTTTGAAAAGAGTTAGCTAACATGAGGCATAATTGGTCCAGTTTAACTCTCCTGCAACAGGTCTGAAGCTGCTGATGTGGTTTAAGAATCCTAAAAGTAAAAAAACGCTGGAGTGTGACATTCCAGGACCAGATCTGGAGACACCCTTTCTGGGTCGAGACAACGCTTTCTGATATGGGTACAGTTTCTCCTGCATCCTGGCTCAAGCATCTGACGGTTTATATCAGATATATTCCCTGTTACTTCTAGACATCCACAGGGAATTATGGTTTTCACCATGCCAGAGATCTTAATGACCTAGATTACTTAATTATTGAATTAATTTATCTAAATTACACCGTTGCCAGCTCTTTGGTCACAGAAGATTGCGAGTTTTTGCTTTCTGTCTGTTTAATTTATTCAAAGAGATTTGTCTCCAGACAACAGTATGTGTGAGTATACAGGTGCAGACATATTTAGACATTTAATATTCTCATTTATGCTTTTCTCTAATGTGAACTTGACTGGTCAGAGGAAAATAAAAAAGAGCAAATCGTGCTCTAGCAATACTCTGTGAAAATACCTGACAGACGTGTTTATTCTTGAGCAGTTGTCCCTCTCCATGATCCACACACTGTCATTATACTAATTACGATCATTAGGAGCCCTCTCCAGTAAGAGCAGGATACTCCTTGCGTTCCACAGCCCTGTAAACACCTCTCTGTCACTCAGGGCTACTCCTCCCCAGCACAGTGACACGTGGAGAGAGTCCTGAACAGGACGCAGTCTCATCCAGCCATTTCTTAAAGAAGCCAGCTTGTTGCCATGAGAATTATGTAATGTAAATCATCTAACAATTGGTATTCCCTTTTCCAGATCCACAGGGTGTTTTGAATCCCACTAATAAAAACGACAAAACCAAAGACCTGGGTAAGTTGGGTCGATCTGACAGGACCCTTTCCTTACTTTCCACTGGTCTTTGCCTTCCACTGAGTGTCACAAGAAACAAAATACCCTGTAGGATAAGTGGAAGAAAAGAAGCATCTAATGAGAGTTTAGAGGCAAAATGGTTGCATATTTCTAAAAAAAAGCATTGTTCAGGACTTCTTTAGGAAAGATCCAGCATAACACCTTTCGCAAGCCTACATTTCCTGTATTAAAATTGTATACTGTATGTGTGAATATGAGCTGTCCATAACAGGTCAGAAGCAAAGCAACCTCAAAGAGTGTTGTCAGTCTGAGTGCAGCGTCTACAAGCAGATCGCCATTAACCTAATGTGAAGCCTTGTTAATTCAGTGTCATTACCTTTGGGTGCTAATTTCCTTTTTCAGAACATTGTCACTGGCTCTAATGCTTTTCTAGAAAATTATAAGTTCTATTATGAACTACTGATCTTTAAAATATCTATTTTTTCTTTTAGCTAAAATTGCTGAAGAAACCATTGTAAATGAGCAAGTCCGCTGTAAGTACAGATAAAACTAAATATGTTCAGAAATCATAATCATTCATTACCAACATTTCTGACTCAGTTTTTACTTCTCTTCCTGTCTAGTTACGACCCAATGTAAGTCCAGCCTTTTTACTTCTTATTTTTAAAATGTCTTTTTAGAAATAAGTGTTTGTTGCACTTAATTCATTAATTCATACACATGGTGATGCTTTGATCTTTTCTGCAGTTACCAGCTGGCTTCATAAAGCTGTGGATGTTGGTAAGAGATTTATTCTGAAACACTTTGTATCAGCTTATGTATGATGAGTGTATCTGCACAGAGATCACTAGATATCGCGCAGTGTGCCAGAGAAGAGATAGATTATGTGAGAACTGATCAGTTACCAGAGTCGGGAAGCACTCAGTCTTCTGGCAACTGTCCACCCTGAGACCTGATTCATTAAACTGAATCTGTTTATTTTAATTGTTATTTGTCAACTGGTTCTAGTCAAAACCATCAATTCGTCCATCTTCTAACTGCTTCATCTAATTCAGGGTCATGGGGCAGCTGGAGTCTGTGTGTAGGCTAGTGTCCACCCTAGACAGGATGCCAGCGCATCACAGAACACACACTGACAGACACACACACAGGGCCAGTTTTCCCAGAAGCCAATTAACGTACAGTATCGGCATGTCTATGTATTGTGGGAGAAAACCGGAGCACCCGGAAGAAATCCATGTGGACACAGGAAGAACATGCAAGCTCCACGCAGACAGCACCCCAGGAACTGAACCCGGTTCAGCAAAGCTAACCACAGTGCCACCGTGCCCCCTCCAGGTTAAACCCCCTCTGTTAATCCAGTAGAAGCCTGCAGGACTGGGCCTTTCCAAGCCCCTGGGCTTTATGAACTGTTAAGGATCGATGAGAAAACAAAGCTGACGAGGATCTCCTCCAGCCTACCTTCCCGAGTCTCACTCTGGTTTTGTTTCCAGGCAGAGGGATAGCGAATGGAGTCTGCAAGGCAGGTGAGAGCTGCTTTTGTTTGACTGTCCCTCGTCTAAAAAATAATCTAGATGAAAGGATATTACCTGAATTTTGAATTATGCTAATTTGATTAAGGTCAACTGTTTTGTCATACTTGAAAATCCAAACATTACTTACTATTGAAGATTATTTATAGGCATGTTCAGAGTGCTGTGCTTTTCATGGTGCTTAATTATGAGTAAAGAGTCTTTACTAGGCTCTTATAGACTTTTGAGTGATGTGTTTTTACCCAAAACGAATTTCTTTTATTTTCTGAAATTTCAGCCGCTCATGTTCAGAACAAAGGCTCTATTAGCGCCTCCTATAACAGTCCTACAGCGCCATCTCGTGTCTCGTTATTGCAGTAATATGCCTTCCTGTGCGTGTTCGGTTGGGATTTGGAGTTAATTCCTATGCTGACCGATATTTCTCACATTTTTCCTTCCCACAGTTAATAACCTCTGAAAGGTATGTGGCCTGAGGCCTTGCTATTTTATATGTTTGCTTTTTCACGGTCTTTTTTGAAAACTTTAATAATAATAAAATACAAATCACAGAATCACACCTGTGCGCTGCAGCTATTCCCCAGCACACGAGAGACACTTCTCTCTCATCTCAGCTCGAAGACACACCTCCACTCTCCAGCTTCCTGTAGTCATATTAGTTCTCACGAGGTTACCTTTCGTTACCTTTCGCATCTGTTCTGCCTGACTTTAAAGTTTTCTTCATTGTGTTTGTACTCTTATCTTTCTTAGATGGGTGTACATTCCTGTATACTCCCAGGGCACAGTGAAGAGCTGGAAATGATTTCATGACCTTGTGTGTTTTGGCTATGGGGTTGTACTTGCTTGCAACATCACTTTTACATCGCTGTGCATCTCACTGTGCAGCATTGGAA